AACATGTCAACTACCAGCATGTCCACCATCATGCAATGTCGACTTTGATCGGCTCCCTAGTTTCAAACCATTCGTCGATCATATCCGGTTTAGTGTAAGTTGTAAGTTAAAAGTAAGTGTTTCCAATTATAAGTTGAGACATCTTAAGATATACTTTATTTGTCTGATGTATACTCAAAGGAATACACAAACCATTTTATCATGAAACACACGTGTTTTGCATGACATGTCCTGTTCCGAATACAATATGCGAGTGTCAGGCACCATCAATGCCTGTATTGTTCATGTGATTAATCTCTATCAAAGCAATAACGTTGATATTGATATGTCCCCTTGTTGCATCATTATTAGAACAATGATTGAAGCTATTAAAGACTGTCTTGAGACCAGGGAAGTTGTCAGCATTTACAGTGAGGGAGTGCGTTATTTAACGTCATATTGGCAATTATCTCAACCAGTATAGTATCTTCAGATACGGCTGTGGGTTGTGTGCTCACAAACCGTACCACCTAGTTATTTGATAGAACACTTTACTATTGGTACACGCTCTTCCTGGGGTTCTCTATCTTCCTGCGTGCTGGCAATACGCATGCACGAGACAACCAAACTTTGTGCACTAGTCCTTCGACCCTGTGAACTTTGACAAACTATGAAACTATATTACGTTAGATATCTAAGCATTCAAGTCAAGTGTCTGTATTCTAGTTGCAATCATTTATATCAAACTTTTATTCACAATTACTGAACTGGGTTGTTAGTTATTTTGACCAGGCGGTGCGCCACTGTTAACCAAGCATGGCTCGTGTTCCTTTCACGTAGTTTATTATGACACCATTACGCGGTGTAGGGAACAGGTGTTAACTTGACAAACGGCCACGTTTATTAACAAAGTCGTGCCAACAGTCACGATTTAAACTACACAGTGACAGCATGCGAACCCATACCCGTGTATAGTTGCGCAATGCCATCCACTCGACAAAGTTGCAATTCTCTATGCACAGTTACTGGCCCTTACCACCAGCGAGGACTTAATTTGCTCTCTTTTGAGCCCCGTAATGATAAATAGTTAGCATATATACTACTAGCAGTCAGTGATTACCCCAGTTACACGTCCGAACGTCACCTTAGCTCATTGATTCAGGCAGAAGAATAGGAACTGCAGTGCTCATTGTGTTGCAATGTAATGTTCTTTTGTGAAATTAGTTGACTGCAATAAAAACCTCCCAACGTCTAATAACTGCTTAATAACGTTTTAAGAAGCGAAGAGGGGCTGTGGGTAGCCTAGCGATTAAAGCGTTCGGTCGTCACGCCGAAGGCCCGGGTTTCGATTCCCCACATGAAGGAAATGTGTGAAGCCCGTGATTTGGCTGGAATATTGCGGCGTAAAACCATACTCACTCACCGACGTAAGAACGAAGAAGTAGATGGGTTGGTCCAGTACATGCAGAGGCATTGATATGGGTGTTCGGACAAACAGCATAGGTGGAGAGATTTATTTAGCTAATAAAATAAAATCTTCCCGTGGCGTGAAATGCTGATTAAAGTGCAACACAGCCCCCTTGTCATATGAAATGTCGTCATTTAGATCATTTTTTTGCGACACATGATACTGCATACAAATGCTACATTTCATAGAATTGTGTATTGCGCGTTGATTCCATGCAGATGCTTTGAGTGGTTGTGCTTTAAATAAGCTGGAGAAGTCGTTACATTTAATTTTTAATTCTCGTGAAGTGCAGACAGTCGGTGTAATTTACGAGACAATATATGTGGACTAACTGCGGTCGCTGTTGTAATGCTGTGTATAATACATGCAGCATGTCCCTGTTCTAGACAGACTGTGACGACTACAAGATGCATACACTGGATCCACAGGATTTCGGCAAGGCTTGTGCTTGGTGGGTTGGTACGCAATAACCACATGCCCTGAACAACCTAATATTACATAACTAATATCATTATTTGTATTATTATTTTATAACTGTGGTTTGGGCAGTCGGTGTATTATGTATGCTCCGCTAAAAAACAGCATAACGTAAAGATTATCCGTGGCGAGATTTGCTAATCTGCCTGTACTGTTCTACTTGTCGTTATGGGGATTATCCCAGGGTTCAGTGTTTCCACGGGCCAAACACGATAGCTTAGAATATGGTTCTAAATTCAGAGACTGACTTAGTATGAGCTGAATGAATTCAGGCACACGCGGTTATTATAGCATTGGTGCTGGAATCTGAGTCGGCGGAATTTCGTAACAAGTGCTTGGATTCTGCAGCTGAAACTCAGTAGGATAAAAATAATCATATTTCTTGGCTAGTCTGAAAGTGGATTACGCTTAATGCGCACTGTTTGGTAAATGAGTTTGTGTGTCGGACACGTAGCTTTATTTCTAAGCTTGGACGCAACATTTTGGTAAAGGGCGGGGTCGACTCGTGTTATTCCGGGTATTCTCGTTGGTTACGGAAAGGCCCGAGTGGTGACGAATGTTACCACACATGTGCGTACCAACATTCGTTTGTACTATATTTTCAAATAAAAAGGAAATATAAATTCAACATTACTTAGGGACTTGAATTTAATAGACCACCAAAATGTTCTTACTCCAGGCTATTCCCCTACTATAACCAGACCACCACAATGTAGTTACTCCAGACATTAAAAGGTAGTTACTCCAGGCTATTCCCCCACTATAACCAGACCATCAAAAATACTTACTCCATGCATTTTTCCCCACTTCAGCCAGACCATCATCAGGTAGTTTACTCCAGAATATTTTAAGACGACAACCAGACCATCATAAAGTGTTACTCCAGGCTATTCTCCCACTATAACCAGACCACCATAAGGTTGCTACTCCAGGCTATTCCCCCCTTATAACCAGACCTCCATAAAGTAGTTACTCCAGGCTATTGCCCCACTATAGCCAGACCATCATAAAGTAGTTACTCCGGGCTATTCCCCCATTATAACCAGACCATCATAAAGTAGTTACGCCGGGCTATTGCCCCACTATAACCAGACCATCATAAAGTAGTTACTCCGGGCTATTACCCCACAATAACCAGACCATCATAAAGTAATTACTCCGGGCTATTGCCCCACTATAACCAGACCATCATAAAGTAGTTACTCCGGGCTAATACCCCACTTTAACCAGACCATCATAAAGCAGTTACTCCAGGCTATTCCCCCATTATAACCAGACCATCATAAAGTGGTTACATCAGGCTTCCCTCCCACTATAACCAGACCATCATAAAGTAGTTACATCAGGCTTTCCTCCCACTATAACCAGACCATCATAAAGTAGTTACTCCAGGCTATTCCCCCACTATCACCAGACCATCATAAAGTAGTTACTCTGGGCTATTGCCCCACTATAACCAGACCATCATAAAGCAGTTACTCCAGGCTATTCCCCCATTATAACCAGACCATCATAAAGTAGTTACTCCAGGCTATTCCCCCACTATAACCAGACCATCATAAAGTAGTTACTCCGGGCTATTGCCCCACTATAACCAGACCATCATAAAGTAGTTACTCCAGGCTATTCCCCCACTATAACCAGACCATCATAAAGCAGTTACTCCAGGCTATTCCCCCATTATAACCAGACCATCATAAAGAAGTTACTCCAGGCTATTCCCCCACTATAACCAGACCATCATAAAGCAGTTACTCAAGGCTAGTACCCCACTATAACCAGACCATCATAAAGTGGTTACATCAGGCTTCCCTCCCACTATAACCAGACCATCATAAAGTAGTTACATCAGGCTTTCCTCCCACTATAACCAGACCATCATAAAGTAGTTACTCCAGGCTATTCCCCCACTATCACCAGACCATCATAAAGTAGTTACTCTGGGCTATTGCCCCACTATAACCAGACCATCATAAAGCAGTTACTCCAGGCTATTCCCCCATTATAACCAGACCATCATAAAGTAGTTACTCCGGGCTATTGCCCCACTATAACCAGACCATCATAAAGTAGTTACTCCAGGCTATTCCCCCACTATAACCAGACCATCATAAAGTAGTTACTCCAGGCTATTCCCCCACTATAACCAGACCATCATAAAGTAGTTACTCAAGGCTAGTACCCCACTTTAACCAGACCATCATAAAGAACTGTTCCAGGCTATAACCCGACCATTAAAAAGTAGTTACTCCAGGCTCATCCCCCACTTTAACCAGACCATCATAAAGTAGTTACTCCAGGCTATTCCCTCACTTTAACCAGACCATCATAATAAAGTTATTTGAGGATATATGAATTGCACACAACAATTAGCTATTTTTAGCTCTCAGATGCTCATAAAAACACTTTTATCTAAATATAAATAACGCTTACGCAATACCATTGCTTGCTGAAAATCAATGTCTATGTTGCAAGCAGTAATGGCGCAAGATGAAGCTGCCAAACATTTAATGTCCATTGAAGCACAACATCATCTCTTTGGAGGTGTTATCTTCAGCAAGGGAACCTTCCTAACTTTCCTCCGCTTGGTCATCCACCTGTGATGTCATGTCAACAAGGCAACCACCTCGGTTGGTGTGAAAGACAGGGAAAAAACATAAGTTCCAAAGTTTCTACTGAGTACATGAAGAATTATTTTTCTGGAATTAGAAATACAGTAAACTACGGTTAAAACAAACTCAAGGGGACCACTAATTTTAATTTGTAATAACCGTAGTTCATTATAATTATGCATACAGCACAGCATATATACAACAACTGGTCAGGCCTAAAAAATAAGTTTGTTATATCGGTCAGTTCGTTATAAGCGTGTTCGTTATAAACGTAGTTTACTGTATTTGAAAAAATATTTTATTTCAGCAATATTTCAGCTTAGTCTTAAAATCAGAGAAAGTGGAAGGAACCATTTTGAGATTATCTGGTAGGAACCCAGACCTTCAGTTCCTCATCGTGAACATCCTGATGGTTGAAGTTCCATGAGCAGGGGGATTTATCCAAGGTAAAACACACTCACAGATTCATTGTCCAGATAACTTTTATTTACACAATAACTCAACAAATATGGACATATATATATATATATATATACAGGTGAATTTGACTTCTCAAGCTTAACAGGTGATACGAAAATACTCTAGTAAACACAAATACACACAGCTGATGGAAACTCCTTCTGATTGTTGGTTCTTGTCCAGCTATGGCCCTATGACAACCACACATGCAGGCAGGACACTTGTCAAGCTATGGCCCTATGACAACCACACATGCAGGCAGGAAACTTGTCAAGCTATGGCCCTATGACAACCACACATGCAGGCAGGACACTTGTCAAGCTATGGCCCTATGACAACCACACATGCAGGCAGGACACTTGTCAAGCTATGGCCCTATGACAACCACACATACAGGCAGGACATATTGTACATGTATAAGTTCCTACAGTCCTTGGAATTCTGTAAAATCATAAATCTCCATTTTGGAAAATTTAAGGCACTTTCTTCTACATTCCAGTACGATAGCTGCTCAAAAATGTTACAACATTTTATCACCACCCTGTGATAACACAAACTGCCTCCCCTTGGAATTTGATGATCTAATGCCACTCCCATATCCCTCCCCTACTCACACCAACTCCCCCCCCAGAAATTTGAACACAAAGTCTTCATGATGCCACAACAGACAGGCCAGGCACAAATGATGAGAAACTATCCGATGAAACATCTCACAGCATTCACGGGGAAGCTGGGATGTTCAAGTAGAGTGGCTGAGATTGCTGTCTCAGCGCTGAGAGCAGTGATCATGAGTACAATCTCTCTGTTCAGCGTATCCCATTCACTGTCTCACCATAAGAAATGCAGAAATGACATAAAATAAATATTACATTTTGATTTAATGCTTTCAGCAGGAAAGGACTAGAAACAGCACACAAGTATGATGACCACTGGTCAAGAGACAATACACAAGGCACTTACATCACATTCAACATGACTGGTCCACCTTTCAGGTCTTTAACACTGGGCGTGATAACATGTTCATCTTCAGTTTGTCTTGCTGTAAAGATAGTTTTGAAGACAGAACATCCTCGTTGCCTACTTCTTGCAGAGATAGAACAACAGTTTCTTGTGATCACAGGCAACGATGTTGAGACACAATTTGAAACAAACAATCTTCTGAAATCTCTTGTCTATGAAATACTCTGTTCTGAAGTATTCTCAGCCTTCTTGATGAAAAATCAGTCACATGACTGTCACATGACAGACACAAGAGATCAATCACACATACACATCTTTGACTGGCATATAATCAAAATCTGGCATCTCGGACTTGGTATCGTCCAGTGTGATGCTGTAACTGCCGGATGTTGTTGTGTCATCACCATCCTCCTCACTCCGAGGGGAAGTCTGTAATGCATACGGATTGTAACCACTTGGTACAACATTGTCTTTCTTCGACGTCAAATTGAAATGTGACGGATAATGCACTTGACCATTTCTACCCCTAACTGCCATCTTCGTTCCTTTAATGGGCGACACCTTTGACCTTGGAGGGGCATTGTGCCCTGGATGTGACTGGTGTTTTATGGCACCAATACCAAGGCGTATTTTCTGTGGTGATGTGGATCTGTCGGAGAGGATGTGGGAGTCTTCGTCACTCCCATGGCCACTGTCACCTGTAGTTATTTCACCCGAACTGGTACTGTGGAAGTCATCAGCTCGCTTCTGGGCATCTCTCCATTCGATGACCTGTAAAACATAACATAAATATCAAAATAGTGATAAAAATCTAAACAAATATTGCTCCCAATTATTTGAATTTTCATCAAACTATCAGCATTATAGCATTGGCTGGTGAAGTTCTGGATGTCAAGACACACTTCGTTGAGTATCTCATTACTAACTGATCCAGACAATCTAATGTGGAAATTACTGAAGGAAAACCATTGTCCTTTCCCTTCCTGTTTGTCTCTATACATATTTTATTGCAGTGTTCCTGACCCTGGTCATTCCAGTAGTGGCCATGTGAAGCCCTGCATGCAGATGTCCCCTGTACTTTGTGATGGTATTTAAAGTGATGTATAACTATAGTTCGTCTATATCTCTTCAATCATCGAAAAATTAAGATTGTGAATATAATTATTGTGAAAATTCTTTAATGGTGTAAAAAAATAACTGTTAAATTGTTATAGTAAAAAACAGGTTAATTCCCATTCAAGGATTGAGTAAATGCTGCAGTTCTTCCTACAGAAAGTTTCCCTGATATTTTCCCCTACTGAAATCAACCTGCAACGGATGGGGAGGTGTGGGGTGGTGGGGTTCTTGACATAGACAATTACAACAAGCCTAGATGCTATCTAGCACTTAAGACAATATTTCCTCTCTGCAGTGCTGCCTTGATGGAATTTGATGGCTTACCCTGAATACAAACTTTCTTTGAGATTGGTATCAATTATGTTGGAAGAAGACAAAGACTTGGATATGTTTGTTTTAACAACACTAGAGACTTGTTTCTACACAGGTCAGTTACAGCATGCCATCAAGATAGCGCCCAGGGTATGGGCCACCAGTGTTGGCTTTGTTTCATGTACAAGACAATCTTCGTAATAGACCACTGTTTGTGTCCCAGTGGAAGACAAGCACACATATTTATAGCTCCAGTGGAATGTTTTGTCATTATAAATGAACAAAAAGTAATTAGCAAGAAGAACACTATGTTATTTATCATGTGCATGATTATATTTAACACATTGGCACTAAAGTAGCTGTATTTTGATTGTGCTTTTATAACAATTGTGATAGTAGAAACTTGTAGGTTTTACAGTGACATTATGTTCTGCTTCCAGTGAATTCCATAAGTAATAAGTAGAGTGATCCATCCAATATGTAACATACATAACACAATTGATGGACGCGCCCCCATCCTCATCTCTCATCCAGGAACATCAATAATGTGCTTGAACTATTTTTTCCCTCTACAACACACTGTGAGCTCAGATATCAACACTCATCTTACTCTGAAAACCCCACTAGAGTTTTTAGAAACACCCCTTTACCACTTAGATTTGCAGATCACATTAGTTTCCCAAATGACCTGACAGCATTGGGAGATGTTTACAAATCTGTTTTCACTCCAACCTTCTCAAAGTGCCCAAACCCTCCGAAACAATTCCCCAGGCCCCGCTCCCTCCATACTCTCTGCCCTTGTTGACAAAGGTCCTGATCTCTGAGTCTTACCACCTGCGATCTTTCAGCGTCTATTTGGTTGGGGTGCTCTAATTGTCTCCTGGGGATGAATCAGGTGAGACTAAACTGTGGCGATGCGTTATTTAGGAGACATAGGTTAAGTGCTTGGTGGGCACCGGCTGCAATGTCTAAAGGTGTTTAACAGACTAAATTAACTCTTGGGGGAGAGCTTCCATTGTGTTTGATAAAAGCATGAAATGGTGCAAGTACAGATTTGTGCTGGAAAAATTAGGAAACTGAGGGAAGCAATGGAAGACACTGATATGAAACAAGCCACTCTTGAAGACAAATACTTTCAAGTCTAGACACAGTAAATAAATGCCAACCAAAGACAACAATTGTATTTGAGAAATCAAATGCCAAACAGATAAGAGGAGAGAAAACTTTGCTGTGAGTGCTTCAAATAATTTTGAACTTTCCAAGACACAGAAACAGAATGTGTCCACTCACCACTGTAATAAGCATTCCACTACAGGAAAAACAAAACAGGAACAAATGAGTTTATATCCTATACATTTAATGTTATGATCAAAGTATCTATTAAGTTTACTGATTAACCCTTTCATGGACAAATTGGTACCTGTATATATATATACAAGTAATAGTTCATAACTTAAGGGGGATGGTCGGGTAAAGCATTTGGTCATCTCACCGAAGACCCGGGTTCGATTCCCCTTCATGGGTACAATGTGTGAAGCCCATTTCTGGTGTCCCCCACTGGGATATTGCTGGAATATTGCTAAAAGCGGCATGAAGCCATACTCACTCATAACCTAAGGCATAAGCCCCTGACAATGAATGATTACATATGTTTTAATTTTGTTTCTTAATTGTTTTACAAGCATTTAAGGAAAAGCTGGAGCTACATGTATATGGATAACACCTTTGTTCCTTTTTGTATTTTTGAACTTACTTCTACCTGTTATTCTCTAAATGTCTAGTTGCTTATATTCATACTCCTCCAGGAGTTAGATGTGTGATACTGACAAGCAGCACGACTTGTATATTCCCAACTTGTGCCCATATCACCAGCATTGAGGCAGTTAAATGTATCATAACTATGTATGATGGGTACAGAGACAGCCTTGATTACACCTATCTGTTAACAGCATACGTTAAGTTGCTCTTGCCTCCTCACAACGATCATTCCGGAGGCCCAGAGCTCAGCAAATTTAGTTTATTGTTGGTCATTTCCTGAGCTTGGACTGGACATATCTGGTGTAAACACACTAAAGAGGGTGTTAAACACTGCATGGTGTGGACATAGTTGTTGTGGAGGGGAGAGACTGCTCGTGTTTCCGCTAATTTATGATGGCAATCAAGTTTAGGACAGTCGTGAGGGCTGCCACAATTTGAGTTGCACCCAGCTAGATGAGGAGGTTATGATTGTAGACAGGTATAGTATGTAGATACAGAGATGTTTACGTGGCACACAATTTCTGTCAGGAAGATAATTCTTTATATGGGGTTAACTAAACTATTGGGGGTTTTGCTAAAATATTTTTTCACAATGTAAAAAGCAATGATAATTATGTAAGTCTATATTTTTAATCATTTTACATGAACTGTTCTCATACAAAATAAATGCCAAATCAAAGACTTTATTCTCCTAACACTAATAACGATGCATTACTGGGGGTAACCCTACATAATTGTCACTTGTCGTACAATGTTGATACATAATACCTCAATATTTACACATTTAGAAAGTTTTGACAAACTTACACAACTCTTTGCCTTCTAAATGACACAACTTGTTGTGGGCAAACTATCACACACAGTGTGATAAAAAGCAAGGAGAGAAGGGCCAACCCTGCAGGTCCCCACTAACAAGGGAGTTTACCTGACACTGCAGCCCCCCACCACACCTCTCTCTTCCTTCGCGATTGTATCACAACAATCACACAGATTGAGTTGTCAGGGGTTTACAGGGCATGAAATCCCCCACAGTTCTAATTATGGTGGTCGTCTCACTCCAACACAACACCCTATGATTGACCATTGTCTACTTGTCAATCAATTTTCCTTCATTTATTGGAAAAAAAGTTCTGAGCTGTTTTTGTAAATGTTTTCAAGTGGAGAGCAGAGGCTAGCATTCATTGTGGCGGATGTGTAGCATAGCATGTCCCATCTCTCTGGCGCAGGCTTGTCAGGTTTAATAGATGGAATCATTTTTAATATTGACTAAGTTTGATTTTTCTCATAATCTGAAATACTAGATTTGCGATAAGCATTCCAATAACACATTCTTTATTACTTTCAAATGACTTTGTGAATAGATACATATCTGATTTCTAATATCTATCATGGCATTAAAAAGTCCTATTTCTAATATCTATCATGACATTAAGTCCTATTTCTGATATCTATCATGACATTAAGTCCTATTTCTGATATCTATCATGACATTAAGTCCTATTTCTGATATCTATCATGACATTAAGTCTCATTTCCAATATTCATCATGCCATTAAATCCTACTGAACTAAAAACAGCAGTATCAAAGTAAAACAACAACCAATTGAATGATATTAGCCACTTAATGATGTTATTTTACTCAATCTGCTAGAACAATGCCAGTCATTATTGGATGTTTTAATGGATTTCACACAAGGGTGCAAAGAAGTATTTCCAAGTTCCCAATGTTTTATTGGTTTCACAATAGGCTGTGATAAATCACCAAGGAGGTGTCATACCTGGCTGAACCTAATTAACAAAGATCAATTAGTGGGCAGGTGAGGTGTCATAAACCAGCCAGGCGTGAAAACAAGGGTCACTCTGAGTCCCACCTTGAGTGTTTCCCCGCTCACCTTGCCTTTACCTGTGTTGTACTGCCTATTGTCCTGATGATAAGGTTCAACAGCAAATAAAAACTATCAATTTGTAATGAGGTTTCAAGTCACACTGACCACTTAGGTGGTATGGCAACAATTGGGTTTAGAAGAATGGTGAACTGAATGAGATCTGGTTTGTATAAGACAATGGACAGATGCACTTGAGAAGGAATAAGAGGTTTTGATTAGTGTCAACTTAGTAAGCTGTCCCTATGGCTTTATGATTTTACTTATTTATGACGTGGCCTTTGTGTGTCTTTTTTCGTTCGTTCGCTCGTTGGTTCGTTGGTTCGTTCGCTCGTTTGTTCGTTCGTTCGTTTGTCGTTCGTTCGTTCGTTCGTTCGTTCGTTCGTTCGTTCGTTCGTTCTTGCGTTCGTTCTTGCGTTCGTTCGTGCGTTCGTTCGTTCGTTCGTTCGTTCCCTCACCTTTGCATTAGCCGCCATGATCTTGTTTTGGTCGAGGGTGCTGGTTTCACTGTTCAGTCTCTGCAGCGCCTGGTGTAGGCGGAAGGACATGAGTTGGTTCTGGCGCTGGTGTTCCCGGTCTGGTACAACATGTTCTACACTGGTGCTGTATGTGGTGTTGGCTGGGGCGTCATGGGAGGAGGACACCTGCAAATAAAGGAAATCAAACTGCTCATTACTTCCATCAGCTAATTTGGGAGCAAACTATGTCCTCCTGATTGCACCACAGACTACCTAACTATATGGATGGAAATAGAGGCATTTCTCTCTAAACTGTCACTGCAGGTGCTCATAGTAACACATGAATGACTAGTACACTATAAACTACTCATGGGTGAACTTATCCAAGTTAATTGTCTCATGCCATATACACATTAGCAAACATATAGCTATTGATCAGTAATCCAGCCATCTGGATACTTATCCAGGAAGGCCCCCCCACCCGAGTATATTTGCCCCCAGATGTGTCCAGCTGCCACTACACAATTAATTAGTCAGAAAATAACAGTGACCATTTTTGAAAACCTTTGCATTTTGCATGACATCTTGTTCTGTGCAAATAACGTCTTTGACCCTCAGCTCCTAATCATTGTGTGCCTTACAAATGACAGATCCACCTTTGCATATTGACATATAATTTACTTCCAGACAAGAATCAGATTTGTTATGATGAGATACAGATTGCCAGGTGAATTGTACTCAGAAGCTTATTTAGTGCAACGTTAACAGTCATTGAAATAAATGTGATCTGCGACCCCCCATGACGGTGTGGATAGCTGCACTGACAAGCTGATATTTTGATAGTTCTACAAGCTCTGCTTAGATTAGCTGTACAGTTCCCCTGACAGATCACACAACGATCACACGACAAACCACATATTGCCTGACACCAAGGGCTACAGGGACTACAAGCTTCTAGAGTTAGGGGCACATGATATGAATTTCAATTTGACCAAAATTTGTTGGTGAATGGAGGGTGTACATTTTGAGTGACAAGATAAGCATGTTGATATCCTGATTGGGGTGTCGGTTTCAGGGGGATCACAGTTCAATTATAACCTCCACATGGGTCAGTCCTTCCACAGTAGTCTGTCAGCATAACGACAGGCATTGACATTTTCATACAGGATTAGTTGAATAAATAACCATGTATCCTTACAACACCACTGCTGATCAACACATTCATATCACTGAGGAATTAGATAATACTTTGTCAATAAATAAATCCTGAACACAGCTATTACCTGTCCATTGACAGTCCATAAACACAGTCTAGGGCCTAGGAACTGCCAATTATGTGATCACATGTTTAATATATTTAGTGTTCTAATCCAGTGAAACATTTAGAATTGAAATCAGTATATTTCAGTTTTAAAATCTGTCAATCAAGTATACAGTGAATTGTGAGGTATAACAGGGTTTGTGCCTTCAGTCTGTCTGGGAACTATATACATTTCACAATATATATGTTTGCCGGGCTAACAGGCTGGAGGCCAGTACATCATCATGTAGTCATACATTTCCATTTCATAAGTCCATATATGGAAAACCTAAGAAATGTAGTAACCAAGAAGGCCCTCTACCATGAGCACCATGGTCCCCGACGCTGGCTTGACAGAACCACTGTTGGCCATGTGAGCAGGGATGGAAGAAAGGCAGAGAGTCACATGTGTCAAACTAACATAATTTAGTTTGGGTTCATTAAATTGATATTTTGCATCCTTTTTAGGAAATATAATAATCTGTATTTTAAAAAAGAAGAAGACTCGTTGGCTCCTCATTTTAGACTGATGGAAACAAAATTTCCTCACTTTTACTCCCTCCAGGATCCAAAAAAAATGGCTTAATGTACAGTACCTGGTATATATATCTGAAGTCGAGTGGGGAGTATCTGGTCTAGGTTAAACCTGGGTAAGTTTAAAGTCTGAGTGATGATCTGTCTTGGGATTGGCAAGATCTGGTCTGGGATAATCCTTCCCCATGGAAGGTTCAGCCCAGGCTGTTTCTACCCCGGGGAAGATCTGGTCTGGGATAATCCTTCTCCATGGAAGGTTCAGCCCAGGGTGTTTCTACCCCGGGGAAGATCTGGTCTAGGATAAACCTTCTCCATGGAAGGTTCAGCCCAGGCTGTTTCTACTCCAGGGAAGATCTGGTCTGGGATAATCCTTCTCCATGGAAGGTTCAGCCCAGGCTGTTTCTACCCCGGGGAAGATCTGGTCTAGGATAATCCTTCTCCATGGAAGGTTCAGCCCAGGCTGTTTCTACCCCGGGGAAGATCTGGTCTAGGATAATCCTTCTCCATGGAAGGTTCAGCCCAGGCTGTTTCTACCCCGGGGAAGATCTGGTCTAGGATAAACCTTCTCCATGGAAGGTTCAGCCCAGGCTGTTTCTACCCCGGGGAAGATCTGGTCTGGGATAATCCTTCTCCATGGAAGGTTCAGCCCAGGCTGTTTCTACCCCGGGGAAGATCTGGTCTGGGATAATCCTTCTCCATGGAAGGTTCAGCCCAGGCTGTTTCTACCCCGGGGAAGATCTGGTCTAGGATAATCCTTCTCCATGGAAGGTTCAGCCCAGGCTGTTTCTACCCCGGGGAAGATCTGGTCTAGGATAATCCTTCTCCATGGAAGGTTCAGCCCAGGCTGTTTCTACCCCGGGGAAGATCTGGTCTAGGATAAACCTTCTCCATGGAAGGTTCAGCCCAGGCTGTTTCTTCCCCGGGAAAGATCTGGACGCAGCCAAACCTTCCCATGGAAAGAACTGGCCAAGGGAAGGATTAGCCTGGTACACCAGTAATCTGTGTACAGCATTAAACTACAACATAACAAAGAAAAACAAAAGCTCCTATATTTTCCACAAAATTGCCTTTCATATAGCATGCCAGCGCCGACTAGGATCATACCAAACAGGATGAGACTGAATACTGGACTTGATATTCTGTGATTAAAAGCATTCCTTACTAACACTGTTTTTATGATGAACAAATTAATGCAAAAAAGAACATCCATTCTGAATGAAGAGTAGTGTATATTATTGTAAGCATGATGCTGAGGTGCAGTGTTTCAGTCATACAAAGATATTGTAGCTTCATCCCACAAGTCTGTCCCCATCCATCACTGAGGCTGCTAATACCTCCCTCCCACATACTCTAACACGGGGCCAACATGTCACAGGACCTCTCACTGCCAATGTTTTACCCAATAACTTCAACAGGGATTTGGGGATTAAGTTTAAAGGGCCTGAGAGACCACATGGTTATAAACTGGGTTTTCATCTACATAAAGTTCTCCACTAGGGTAGAAGCTGATGAAGATAAAAATATTTGGGATTTATATCTCTCGAAGCATTCTGATGTGAACTTTGATGGATGAGGCCCAAGGCATTAAGTGTCATCAAGTGATGTTAATTTCACCGTATGGCACATTCATCTCACTGTGACATGTCAAATATAAGAATTGTGGGCATATACAGTGCATTATTATCCATAGAATTATTGCTGAGCAATATTAATATTCTATGAATACAATTCATACTCTTTCCCTTTAAAAATAGTTATCAATTAACCTCAACTCTTTGAAAAAAAGGATTTTCATATTTATATATCAACACTAGAGAATATTCTTTACCACAGAGTATGTTCCCAATGTCTACTGATATCACAAGTTTCAAGTATTAAACATTGAAACAATTGGCTACTGATATCACAAGTTTCAAGTATTAAACATTGAAACAATTGGCTACTGATATCACAAGTTTAAAGTATTAAACATTGAAACAATTGTCTACTGATATCACATGCATCAAGCATTAAACATTGACACAATTGTCTACTGATATCACATGCTTCAAGCATTAAACATTGAAACAATTGGCTACTGATATCACATGCTTCAAGCATTAAACATTGACACAATTGTCTACTGATATCACAAGTTTCAAGCATTAAACATTGAAACAATTGGCTACTGATATCACAAGTTTCAAGTATTAAACATTGAAACAATTGTCTACTGATATCACATGCTTCAAGCATTAAACATTGACACAATTGTCTACTGATATCACATGCTTCAAGCATTAAACATTGAAACAATTGTCTACTGATATCACAAGTTTCAAGCATTAAATATTGAAACAATTGGCTACTGATATCACAAGTTTCAAGTATTAAACATTGAAACAATTGGCTACTGATATCACATGCTTCAAGCATTAAACATTGAAACAATTGTCTACTGATATCACAAGTTTCAAGTATTAAACATTGAAACAATTGTCTACTGATATCACATGCATCAAGCATTAAACATTGACACAATTGTCTACTGATATCACATTCTTCAAGCATTAAACATTGAAACAATTGTCTACTGATATCACAAGTTTCAAGTATTAAACATTGAAACAATTGGCTACTGATATCACAAGTTTCAAGTATTAAACATTGAAACAATTGTCTACTGATATCACAAGTTTCAAGTATTAAACATTGAAACAATTGGCTACTGATATCACATGCATCAAGCATTAAACATTGAAACAATTGGATACTGATAATGCATGCTTAAAGCATTAAACATTGAAACAATTGTCTACTGATATCACATGCTTCAAGCATTAAACATTGACACAATTGTCTACTGATATCACATGCTTCAAGTATTAAACATTGAAACAATTGGCTACGGATATCACATGCTTCAAGTATTAAACATTGAAACAATTGTCTACTGATTTGACATGCTTCAAGTATTAAACATTGAAACAACTGCCCATACATAATGAATGGACCTGATACCTGGTGTTTTCCATTCAGCTGTATGTTTGTGATTTTGTGTTAATCTTGTGACTGATCCCTCCCAATGAGCTGCATGCGCCCATGTATCCTGTCTTGGACAAACATAGACGTTGCCAGAGTGTGTTCTATTCCTTCTTTGGAATAAATATAAGGAAATTCCCCTGCACATTTCCCCTTGACAACAAGCCAACCAAACAAAGAAACACTTTTGCTTTTTAGTTTCCCCTTTCAATTTGTTTAAAATTTTTAATCTGTGTGAGAAAAAGAACACATTGTTCTGTTTTGTTGTGAAATCTCTTAATCGGAGAAATCTAACTTCACATGACATCAGTGGCATGCAGACATTTTTATCACGTTTTTACCTCAATTTGAAATATTAGTTGTGTTTGTAGATTGGCATTCTGAATCTTAAAATAATCTGTCTAAAATATGAACATTGCTCTTAGATGGCACAAGACTTGCACTGTTAGTGACAAGATGAAATGATTTGAAAGTTTAAAGCCATGTAAAGAAATGGATCCCAAGGAGTTATTATTGATTTGAAAAAGGAAATCAATTACTGAACTAAAATACATTAGGATATTAAATCTAAATAAAATGAAAATAACAACTGTTTAAATCTTCTAACTCAGTTTTCATGGGCATTAAAAGTGATTCAGAGCTATTTCCACAATGTTAGTTTTTGCCTGTTTCATTCTGTGTCACTCAATGATGCAGAGGAAGGAAGGCGATGCAACCGTCTGCCTTGTCCCCTGGCAGCCCCCTACACCAGTATTTGTTTGGGGTGAGACTTCCTAGGGCGAGGGCTGCACTTTCTCCCCCAAAGTAGTTTTTTCAGGTATGTTGTCTGTGGGGAGAGGACATTCCTCCAACAAGGTGTGGATTGTCCCAGTGGGATCTCAGGTACATGAACAAGCTCCGTCGGGGAAGTGATGACGAGGTTTCACAGGTGTCATGCTAATCGACAAGTGACAAACTACTGAGAATGCTATTGGCGACTGAAATGCTGCTTGTTGAAATAGACAAGAGGTTCTCTATTGTCTATAGACACGTTTGATGTAATTACACTAGGGAAACAGGAGGTGGGGAGTTTCACATTTTTGCTTTGCAAACCCTGTATCTTGTCAAATGGCTTCCTTTGATGTTGGCTTTTTTCTGTGTAAGTTGATAAGGATTGCTCACTGGGGTAAGGAGGAGGGGGATATCCATGGTAAGACCATTATGACATCATCGTAAAAGATTTGATGTTCCAATACATCTCATTCATTACTTCATCCCCTACAATCTTGTTATTCTTATTGTTATAATCATCATATTGGTATCCAAGTTATTATTCAATAACTAACTAGTCATGTTTTGGGACATACACTGAGATTCCAGCAATCAATTTTAATGGAAATAGAAAGATTTTCAATATGAGCTGCTTCACTTCTGATTTTCATTCTTAAATGAATACAGTCATCATAAGAATAGGTTCAAACTTACCAGTTTCCCAGTAGAAATAATTTTTCCATTGACAGTGCTGGAAGATGTGTCAAGATCGGCTTTCTTGTCAGACTTGTGGATGCTCTGATGTCCGGTGGTGGCCTTGTCAGCAGCGGTCACTCCATCAACAGTGCTGACCGAGCTCTGTATACTGTAACTCAATGGTTCCTGTTGACAGTGCTCCTTCAGCTGTTGATCCTTGTCCCGCTTGCGTAGATAACATAAAGCCACAAGAATAGCTGCCGCAATGAACAAGGTAGAACACACCAGGACAATGACGGTGACGATGTACTGGTCACTAGATGGCAACAAATGTCCTGGCTCTGTGCGATGGGATATTAATATCTTCAGTCTCTGTGAGACAGATTTGGCATCTGGGTTTGTATTAGAAATCATAATTGCCAGGTAGAATGTGCCAATCATGTTTGTGTCAATGTCCTTAGTAGTGTAGATTTCACCCGAGGTGTTGTTCATTTCAAACAAGCCGGATGAATTCAAATCTCTGGTTGTGTATTTGATTTGGGCATTACTTTCATCATCAATGTCAGTAGCTTGTATCCTTACCACAACACTGCCTGATTTAGAGGGTATGAATACACTCACGCTGTAGTTGTCATCGTTTGGGAACACAAATGATGGGTCATTGTCATTCACATCATCAACAACAACAGTGACCTGGGCTGCCCCTGACAGTGGCATGGTTCCATGGTCCGTAGCAACTGCCCTGAAGATGTACTCACTCTTCACCTCCCTGTCCAGCTCCTCTGTTGTCAGAATAGTTCCGTTCTGGAGAATGGTAAATGGCAGATGATCAGTTGACAAGAGCGGTGAGAGTTTAAGGGTATATATGCCCCCATCTTCTGTGTCCCGATCGAAGGCAGACACGTTCCCCACTCCCATACCCAAGGGAAGGTTCTCGGACATGTGGAACCTGTACTCAGTCTCCAGGAAAAGAGGCTGCTCATCGTTGATGTCCAGGACATTGACGGTGATGGTTGCTGTGGCTGTTCTTGAAGGCACACCGCCATCAATGGCCAGAACATGGAACCTATACTGTACAGTGTCTTCTCTGTCAAATCTGATCTTTGTTCGGACGATGGGGATATTGGAGTCAACAGTGAAATTAATGCTTGCCTCTTTCAACACAGAAAATGTTAATTTTTTGTTGATACCTGAATCCTTGTCTGTAGCACCAAGTTGGACAATCATGTCACCCACTGCATTGTTTTCAGCAATGTTCAGTACGATCTCATTCTGCATGAACTCAGGGGAATTGTCGTTAGCGTCTAAAACATCCACCCCAAACTCTGCCGAGGCATTAAGTGTAGGACTACCGGCATCTCGGCAGAAAATTGTCACTTTATAATGTTTAGTTGTTTCATAGTCCAGTAGTTTGGCTACAACAGCCTTGTATTCCTTGTCGTCAAGAGGCTGCAGATCAAAGCCTGCTGTTTGACTGAAACATGTAACTATGCCATTAGCACCAGTGTCAGGGTCATGAATCTTTATGTGAGCCACTGGGAAACCAATGCGTACAGATTCTTTGACTTTTGCATTCCCAGTCTCAGAAAGAATATTGATAGTTACAGCTGGTGGGTTGTTTATTGTGTCGAGTATTTCAACCTCTACGAAAGCTTGTGATATTTTTGGTGGTGTGCCTTGATCACTGGCTTCAATGATGACCTTGACATGACCACTATTTAGTTGTTGCTTTAGAACCATGTTTCCACTGATGACATCCATTGCAAAATAACGATGTATTTCATCAGCTTGATGTGAACTCAGTCTGTAAAAAACATTGCCATTTTCACCTTCATCATTATCAGTGGCTGTCACTTGTAGAATGACCATTTCTAAATTGGTGTTTTCCTTGATGGTGACATTGTATATGGAATGGCTGAACACAGGAGAATTGTCATTAACATCGGTGATGCTGATCTGAACATCCATGCTGCTGCTGAGAGGTGGCGCTCCTCCATCTTCAGCTATCAGTTTCACGCTGTACGTATTCTGAGTCTCACGATCTAATTTCTCTGTCACAATGATCAGGACCACGGATGTCCCATCAAGATTCTTGGTGAATTCTACCCGGAATGGCACATTGCTTGGAACAATTTCCACACTCTGTAAGGAGTTATTGGGATCAGTGTCATTGTCTGAGGCACCAGGGAGAGAAAAAGAAGATCCGACAGTTGATGATTCAGGAATTTCTATATTCCGAGACTGGACTGGAAACTTTGGTGCATTATCATTAATATCTTTCACTGTGATCTCTATTTTCAAATTGCGAAAAATATCTGACACTGTTGACCTGGCTATAATTTCAATTTGAATATCACAAGTTACCTGGAATGGGCAGAGTGTTTCTCTGTTAATTCTTGTCTTAACTGAGAGAATGCCTGCAGTGTTGATGAGGAAGAGTTCACTGTGCTGATTGCCTTCAGTGAGGATACTGAACTGTAGCTGATCATCTGGATTCACGTTCAGGTTGGTGTCGCGGGGGATGTCTCCGATCACCTCGCCAACTCTCACTTCTTCTGGTATTGAATATTCTGCATCCTGGCCAGCCACAAAAACAATCACAGAAAACACCACCAAAACTACAAGTCTTAATCTACTTGCATCCATCTTGAAAAATATATTTTTTTACCGAAAGTGAATTATCTCATTTGTAGTATCTCCTCTTCAGTGTTGTCAATTCAGCTGTACACTTCACCCCAACTGTAACTCTGTCAATCTGAAATGCACAAGAGTACAAGAGTATTTGACCTGCTGATTAACTCAGACCAGTAATTAACAACTAATACCTTTCACCTGTACATGACCATGACAATATTGACAGTCAGTGATACAGACAGCACAGACAAATGGACACAGCATACCTCATAGCTCATCAGATGATATGAAAACACCAAGCCCTAGCGTAATGTGTAGGAACACACGAACACACACATAGTTGTGCCTAGGCTGAAGCCTTCCAGTAATTGAGCTCTCTTCTCTGTCACATGCCTTTCAGCCTGGCTCAGCCCACCCCTAGTCCAAGCAGCCAATCAGCAAACAGCCGCCACACCTGAGCCAGCCACCACCTCCCTCCCAGACTGGGGCTCTAATTGACAGCTTAAGGCCTATGTTCTGGCTGACTGGCCACCTAGCCACTGGCTACTGTGGGGGGCTGGCCCCTGACTACTGCAGGGTGCCTGCTACCCGGTCGGGCTGTACTGGGTCTACCTATACCTTACCCTGCTCTAATCTGGCTTAATAGCCGTGTTACAAGGGCAGTTACATTTACGATGTCTGTAAAATGAGTGCAATCAACAAGATTTGTCACAGCTCTTTAACAGTTAAATTAGCATGTGATATATGGATTGTACATTTCCTTCAACATGTTAACGTCATAAACAATTCTTTATAAGTATTTTGTAACTTTAAAGATACTATTTTTATAATAATACATAATATGCACGGCTATAATTCATGTTTCATAAATCAAACATGTTATTAAACATATGGTTTAATCAGTCAAAATCCAAATATTTATATTCATGTTGAGTGTTTTACATAAACCCAAAATATGGATTTTTCATGTCCTTTTGTCAAAAACGATGTGTTTAAATTTAATCATTGAACTGCATTGTAAAATAGAAACTTTATTTTGCTCTTAAACATATGATAGCATATATCATCCCTAATTAGATACAGGGGAAATCTGACTGACTGATTATACATACTTTATCATTTACACCTGGAAGCTGGTATATTGCGTTGTCATAGGGTTTAACAAGGGAGGTCTACCCCCTGGATGGTCTGCTGGTGAAACTGTGAGGGGCACTGGTCAGCCGACTGGACACTACATCACATACATGATGATACTCAACCAACAAAGCCAGCATCCTCTGATACCACAGCACACATGTGGCCAGTCAGAAGAATTTGTGGACTTGGTATGAATTTCTCCTCCTTGCTACAAACATCTTTGTTACCTGCCGTGGCGAGTCACAGTGTGCATTACTATTTCTGAGTCAACAACAGCACAATTAACGCACATACAACCCTTGTGAACAGTTCTCATATTTGCTCATAAAATCTCCAATAAATCTTCATGAGGATTCTTTGCAAGGGCGAGTTACATGGATACAACTGGACAGGAATAATAATACTGAAACACACACCATGAAATCTACATGCTAATATCAACATGTATTCCTACATCTAGACACCTTGAAGCAGACAGTCTTGAATTGATAATTGATAAATTGATAATTTGATAATTTAAACCTGATTTATATCATATTTATATACAAAGCATGTTTATATATAAAAATTTTCAAATATCACATTTTGACAAAATGGATATCTCTTGAAAAGACCTACATCTATCACAGTCACGCATGTTTTGCTCTCTCTCAACAAGGTATAACACCTCCAACATTAGATAATGAGCTACCTACATCTCCACACTTGTAACCCATGCTGCTGTATAGTGCAACTGTTGGATGTAGTTACAGGTGCAATGGCTGACACACCTATCTGAAATAGACAACTGTCCATCACTGCTGTAGGCTGTTGTCTTATCACAGCTGGGTGTAACAGAAATAACAGACAACCCTAACCATAACCAGAGATATGCTAATGACACCTGGTGCCCCAGCGAGCTGGTGATGATGTAACTGTTATCTGTTGCAGCCATTGACACTCATTTCATTACGCTATCAACACCACTCCATCTGATACTGACGGGGATGAGGACAACTAGCTCATTTCTAATTTGTAGATTTGGAGCTGGTCACAGGTGCTTTTTTTAGTGTTGGAACATTTGGTTCACAACAAAATTAAATTACCTGAGAGTGTACATTACAATCAGGAACTGATTGATATAAATTTGTGTATTTTGTCCTGACAAAATAACTGAAATTCACATCAGTTGTTGCCAAAGCTTTTACCATTGTCAGCTCACATAACAAGGTCACATATTTCAGGAAGCTATAGTCATTTGTCTGTGTAGATATATATTTCAGAGTTGAAACTGACATGTAATTAGCATTCTGGTGCATATTTCATTGCAGTTAATTGATTCATGACATCCTCTTCTCCACCTGAGTCAATAAGCAAATCTTTAATCAAACCTACAAGTTCCCATTACAAATGCTGACCCTTATCGACAAACCCCACGGCAAACCCTACACCAGAGAGGAAAACAAATTTCAGCACAGAATGGAGCTGAAACTGTATACCGTCTTTGGGTGACAAAAGATAAGATGTTCTCCGAGTTGTGAACACAGCTCTGGATTAAATGTTTATACTGATGGCAATGTCAGACTCTCTTATTTATCACCTAATGGTCTATTTCTACTTCAGGTGGGATTAACCGTCCTACAGTAACTCAGATGGGTTTGTGTGCAGGGCTTATATTATGTTCACATACTAATAGTTGGATTTCAAAGCAAGGTGATTCAGTTACATTTTGATTCACATTATAGGCTAATTGACAGGATGTTGGAGGTTGAAAAAACGGACAAAATGTTGTTCAGTTAAGTGAATGGTGAAATGGAATTTTAGGATTTGTTGGATGACTGAAGACAGAAGTTATCTAGTGATGAATGTAGGTGGGATATTATTGTTTGTAAATAATTACCTTATGACAAGAACAATAAAATGATATGTATTTCTATATCCCTGACACAAACATTTACAGCTAAGAATGGAGGGGAGAGAAGACTGTATCGTAAGGATGTATAGATAGATAAGACAGGTCCCATTAAGTCTGCAGTATCCCTCTCCAATAACCTCTCATGATCATGTAAACACCAACACTTCTATCACTCCCAGTTAGTGTGTGACAAGGTGATTTACCAATGTGACAAACCCATGAGTTTTATAACAAATACTAGCAATGTTTAGGATAAGTATATAAACACAAAGTGCCCTATCACATCTGCTCATTCACTTTAGAAATCCCCCCTCAAAATAACGAATTTATCCTCCCGGTATATCCCCCAGGTAAAGCCAGGTAACCATGCTGGGCAGAGGCCATACACCTATCAGGAGTAGAGTGATCCCCTGCAAGTCATGCTGTTCATATTAAACGGTCATTTTCTCTATTCACACGTAGATTTAATTCTCCTAATCCTCTAATGTGATAGTGTATCAGCTTGGAGGAAACATTCCTGTGTTGTCATTGACGTGCTATGTACCACCACCCATACCAACATACACCTGGCAAACTTACTTCCAGTTGGGCCAAATATCATAGATATTATCAAGAAACTACAATGTGTTCATAAACATAATGAAACATTTTGTTAAACAACATTATTTTTAAGATCAGAGAAGTTAAGTCAATTTCACTCCTGACAAGTGAAATGAAGCTGTATTTCCCTAGAACACAATGTGCCATGTTTCCATGACATATACCACATACATAGGTATGCCCACATGAAACAGGGATACCAATCAGATACATGTTCTACACAAAGGTCTACAATTGACATCCGGGACTAATGCTATTGTAGTTAAGACTACCTCTCATTATGAAGCACTCACAGTCCGCAGGTGGCCATAACAACATGACATGTACATGGCAATATACACTGCCGCTCCAACAAACCGGCCTCTGTGAATCTACGTTAATACTCACTCAAGTCCTTCATTGTGCAATCAGAGAAGCAGATTTATTTCACATGGCTGGTCGTCCACGAGGTGACGGGGGGACAATGCAGTCATTAGGATTACCAATGAGTCTTTTACAGGGCTACTAAAGCTGGGTTACATATTGACTTAATTCATGGTGAATCGGGAGTAATCAATTCCATTATTTATTCTGTAAATCTGATAAGTATGTGTTGCATGATTGCAAGTCTAAAGCTTGTGTTACGAAGATACCTTTTGATGTTAATTAGGATTAAGGTCTTCCATCTCAAATGTCACTGATAAAGTGGAATAAGTGTTGCACGTTCAATGTTGTGGAGATAAATGAAACATTTTCTTATTTGTTTTACTAAATCTTAATGCATCTTTTAATGATTTCAAAGCTTGTTTCATATAGTCATATCTTGATATATGATATTTTAAGTTTTTTTCTAAAACTAATTACTAATAACACAAATATGAAGTGAATTGACTAAACATAATCACTAAATATCATCTTTCTCGCTAAGGCGCCATTAGTGTTAATATTTAACAAACCACATTTTTCCAAATAATGGGACAGACAATCTTTTGTTATGAATATTCATGTGCTTTCCTTAGCTTAATAAATCAAGTAAAATCTACAAAATTGTCCCTCAGTTTGACCAGTACAAAAACACCTGTGGATGAAAAGAGGATGGTAAATCTTGTAATTTGTGGTCAGTGTTGACACAGGGTCATCTCTAATGATAGCAGGACACTAAAGAGGCTGGAACCCTGTCAGATAGCAAGATGTACACCCTTTTGTTACTGTTATCAGGGTAAGCTGATCCAATATGGCTGCTATGGCGGCCATATCTGTTTCAAGAAAAGACTTTGAGGATAATGGCACTTTATTAGGGACTCTTATCTCCTTTGAAAGCAGTTTCAGATAAATTGGAGAATCTTTCAGTTCCATGATCTTTGAGTCTCCTGCTGATGTCAATAAATCAATGTATGCGATATTGAACCTGTCTGTTGAAATCCCACATCAACTCAAAAGGTTATGAAAAAAATTGTTAAATGGGAATGGCATTTAAGATCAAAGAAACTTGATTAAAAAACGCATTAACT